CCTAATTGATAAGATCAACTCCATAATTGTTCTGGTTAGAAAGTTGCATCCTAGTAATTCAAAAGGTAATGCAAGACTTCAAATACCCTTTTCCATAAATACTCGAGAGAAAGCGTGATGCCTACCCCCTCCACATATGTTATCTAGAAAAGTTGATGCTTACTACAATAAACTATAGACTCAAATATAATATTTGATCTCCTCTTAAAATTAATTGACATTAAGTGAAATTGTTCAAGAAATTTTTAAGTTGAATCCTAATAATTTAGGTAAAAGATGTGGTCCTAATAGATTTGTAGCATGTGTCATTTTGAGCAACATTTGTTTATTAAAGACAAATGATGGTGTGTACAAATTTGAGGGTTCATGAAGTAGTATAACTTATTGTAAACACAAAATCAATCCAACAATGCGTTTGAACTAAATCAAATTTTAATAGTATTTTTTATTTTAAACAAGAGATTTATAATTATTACTATACCATACTGGTATAATCTGGCATGGGCCTGGTATGCTTATGTAGATCTATACCTACATAGGTTTACCAAGTTAGAAAAATTGTAGACAAAAAAACTAGTCAAGCTAATGGATCGATCATAGGTTGATTTGACTATGCATAGAGAAAAACCAATTCAACCAAAAATAAGGGGTAAATGGTGTTAATCTGACCTCTAATACTAAATATGTGATCTATCAATCATGTCTAAGGGAAGTCAAAATTAGCCTCATCCAAATATTTGGACCAAATCTTATCTTTAACAACCAAGATATGATACCTAAGCTACCTTATCAAATCCCAAAATTCTCAAGGCCCATAAACTCATAAATAATTAACTATAAAAACCCTAACCCTAAGGCAAGGAAGACATAATAGACTTTTGAATGCTTTGACTTTAGTTGAGCGACTAAACCCTAAACTATAAAAACCCTAACCTTAAGGCAAGTAAAGCATAATACACTTTTGAATGCTTTGACTTTAGTTAAGAGGCTAGACTAACCATAGAATATTCTCCAAATCAAAATATTTTAGCATCCACCATGGAGGTACGATGAAATTTCTCCTACACCTTAAGGACTATCAAATTGAAAAAGGTGTATGGAAGTTTTGGTGGAAATGGCAAAAGGAACAACATCAAATCATGAGACCTGAAATCCAACTATGGAGGAGATGATGACTATGATCAATGACTTAAGGGAGGAGAATGCTTAAGTTAGGAGAAGAAAGGAGGAGATCAAGAAAGAGAATGAAGAAATTTGGTGAAGGTTAAATGAGATGTAGGTGGTGATACAAACCAACCTCAAGATGACAAAGGGAGATTTGACAATAGAGGTACCAAAGGATTTTAAACCTTTCTCATAAAAAATTGAGGCAAAACCTATTCTGTAAGATTACATGGTACTTGAGGTTGATTTGTTTGATGGGACTTAAGATCCAAGTCAACATTCACAAACTTTTGTGCCCAAATATTGATATGCGAAGGAAGTATAGGAGTACGATGCAAGATGTTCATGGGAACATTAAAGAAAGCAACTTTGGATTAGTTTAATTATTCACTAGATCAGTCCATAACCAATTTTGACATGTTAAGTCGATTATTTGTAGCTCAATTTGTTGCTAACAAGCGAAAAACCCCAACCACATCAGACTTATTTGACTTAAAGCAACAACGGGGGAAAACTTTAAAAGATTTCCTTCAAAGATTCAATGAAGTTTAAGTAAGAATTGTGTCCATTGATGCAAAAATGGTTGTTGTAGTATTTTAGAAGGGCTTATGGTTGAGGGTGTTGATCAATCACTAAAAAGAATGAATTACCAAACAATGGCTAAGGTAAAAACATATGCTTTAAGCTACAAAAGACAAAGGATGATTTGATTAACAAGAGATTGAAAGAAGACAAGGAGTTGGTCCTAGAGACCAAAAGAGGAAAAAATCATTTACGTCCTTGATTCGATTGGAATAAAAGGAAAAATTGTTATGTTTTGAGAAGAGAGAAGAATGTCAAACACTTAATATATGGAAGTTGACAGAGAGACGATTAGGGAAGGAAAAATGAACAAGAGAAGTTCACTCCACTTAATGAAACTCGATAACAAGTTTTGTGGGACATAAATAGTGCATCACTTTTTTCTTTTCCTTTCTACTACTAATCAATAGATAGGACCATATAAAAATGAATGGTGAAAGTTTCATAAAACACATGGTCACAATACTGAGAATTATTTTGTTCTAGGAAGACAAATTGGTTGTTTGATTAAGGAGGGTTGACTGGGCAGATTTGTTAAAAGAAAAGGAGAATAAAGTTTGAAAGAAATGAGAAGAGGAGAAGGAAACTCGGGAGATATGAGAAAAGGAGATAAACATGGTAGCAAATAATCTCCTTAGGGACCACCTTCAACAAAAAGCCAAGGAGTCCACCAACAGGCAATCCACGGTGACTTTAATACTATCGTTGGTGGATTTGCTAGAGCTGGATTGACATTGATAGCATGAAAGAGATACACTTGATTTGTATTGGCAATATCGGAAAAATAACAAGGAAGTCATCTCGTCATTACATTCTTGGATGTTGACTATGAAGGGGTATCACTATGAGGATGACTCGACAGTAATTTTGGTCACAATTATGGGATTCAATATGAGACGTGTACTAGTGGATCAAGAAAGTTTGGTGATATCTTATTTTCGAAAGCTTTTATTGGAATGAAGATACCTAATGATTGTTTAATACCTTATACTAGCACTCTAGCTGGTTTTACAAGTGATCAAGTTGTGGCTCGAGGCTATGCTGACCTTGAAATAACATTCGATCAGGGGGGAAATATGAAAATTATGGTAATCCCATACCTGGTGGTTAATGCACAGTCATTCTACAACATATTTTTAGGATGATCAACCCTGAACAAATTAGGAGCAATCATGTTAGTGCCACACTTGAAGGTTAAATATCCTTTATCTAGAGGAGGAGTTGGCGTTTTGGAAGTATACTAAAAGGTGACTCGCAAATGTTATGAAGATAGTCTAAAGGTGAGAAGGAGGTTATAAATTACATAAACTAAACAAGAAGTTCACTCTATAGATTTAAACCTAAGAATGAATCACTTTGACAACCGACCATCCCTTACTGAAGATTTTAAAGAAGTTGAAGTGGCTAAATATAAGAAGGTGAAGATCAAAGTTTCGCAGATACAAGAGGATGAGGGGAAGTTGATTGATGTCCTAGAGAAAATTTGTCAACCTTCCCTTGGAGTACAACTGACATGTTGGGCATAGACTCGACTTCCTATGTCATAGGCTCGCTTTAAAGCCAAAACTGAAGGCGATGGCACAAAAAAGAAGGAAGTTTGGGGATGAAAAGAAAAAATTTATATCGGGAGAAACAAAAAAGTTAGTAGTAGCTGACCACATCTAAGAAATTCAATATCTGACTTTGTTGGCGAATGTAGTGAAGATTAAAAGAAGCAACGAAAAATGGAGGATGTGCATCAACTTCACAAGCTTAAATAAAGCTTTCCCAAAGGTTTATATCCTCTACCCAACATAGATTGTTTGGTTGATGGTGCATCAGGTTATGAACTGTTAAGTTTCATTGACGCATATTCAGGTTACAATCAAATCCAAATGCATTTAGCAAACAAGGACAAAACAACGTTTATTGCAGATCAGACAAATTATTTCTACATGGTGATGCCTTTCAGTCTCAAGAATGTTAGAGTCACCTATCAAAGATTGATGGAAGCTAAAGGCTTATGAGGATGACATGGTCAGTGTCAATCAACATTTTTTCGATCTTTAGGAGCAATTTGATACCATTAGTAAATAGTAGTTAAAGTTGAATTTGGAGAAATGTCCTCTCGGTGTACAAGCAGGAAAGTATTTTGGTTTCTTATTGACTCATTGAGGGATTGAAGCCAACTTGGATGTGTTCAACAATAATCAGCATGAGAAATCCAACAACTATGAAGGAGGTTCAACAACTCACTAGAAAAATGACATCTCTGTCACATTTTCTTTCAAAGTCGGATGAGAAAGCATTGACTCTTTTTTAATGTTAGAAAAATAATGATTGCTTCACTTAGATTGATGAATGTGAAAATACATTTAAAGAACTCAAGAACTCTTTGTCCTCACCATTGATTTTGTCAAAACCTCATCATCTAGATCTTCCATTGTTGATTTATTTGTCGATATTTGATAACACTATCAGCACGATTTTGGTCCAAGGAAAGGAAAACATCCAAATGTCGATATACTTTGTCAATAAAGTATTGCAAGGTGAAGAAATTAATTATTAGAAGATTGAGAAGTTAGCCATAACGATATTGATCTCTACCAGAAAATTATGCTACTACTTTCAAAACTATGAAGTGGTGGTAAAACACATCATTTAATCTGACAAGTATTGCAAAAACCTGATTTGGCTAGAAAGATGATGAAGTGATCGATAGAACTATCCAAATTTGCTATCAAGTATGAACCAAGGGAGATAATAAAAACTTAAGCGTTGATCGACTTCATAATAGAGTCAACACCACGAAATAAAGTAGTAGGTGATGTGAGGGCTCCTTGAACCATGTCCGTCATGTGATAATAATAATAATAATAATAATAAAAATAAAAATAATAAAGAAATGTATATATAAAAATTATACATGTCTATACTTTAGATTATATTTTTTAATATCAAGAAAATAGTATACCATGCTTATAATTTTAGTTTCAAGCAGGCATTTATAAACTAGAAATTGAAAGGCCGAATACCAGATTTAAGTTGTGATTTAATGGTGATTATTTCAAATGGCAAAGTATCACATTTACCACATACTATATATCATATCCTATATCATATAGTTCCATATTTATCACCATCCGTGGACCAATAAGACTGCCACATAGCCAAACGATTTAAACATAAAAAACGCATGGTCTTTCTATTGGTGGTGACAGACATCCCCGGCACCAGCATGTAATCTTAACGAAGTCACTAGTTAAAAAGCGAAAAGGACAAGAATGCATTATATCCGGATTTAAGAATCGCGACTTTCCTTTCTCTCTCTAAACACACTCTCTCTCTAAAAACCTACACCAAACCTGAGTTTACTTTTCACTACAGCACAAGATCTAACCCTGGTACTCACTCTTTTCCTTTTTATCGTTCATTTCTCTTTGATGGGTATCAAAGTTTAAATCTTTTTGCTGTTTTCTTTTCTGGGTTTTGTGCAAAATCATTTTTTTTTTGTTCCCTTTATATCTATGTACGCCGTGGAGAAATCTGTGAAGGTTTTTCTTTCTGGGTCTTTTATATATTGCCGAATTCTCGGGGTTGAAAAGAGGGGTTATTTATCGTGTTTATTGAGCGTTTGAAGTTTTGATTTTTGGTAGATACAATCTCCATGGAGGAACCAGAGAAGGGTTTATGTGGAACATCCGAATCCACAGTAACTCATGAGGAGAAAGTGGGGGGTGAAACCCTAGAAGGGTCTGTAGATTGTGGTGGTCAGGTTCAGATGGAGGGTTCATTCTCTGAAGAGTTGGTTGGGGAGGTTGGGGCTTGTAATGGGAAGGATGTAATGGTGGAGGTTTTGGGGTCTGATGTGTACATAGATGGTGTTTGCACTCGTGGGAATGACGCTGAGCTGAGCGGCGAAGTGGGTGGTGGTGGATCAGTTGAGGGTGGGGAGGGTTTGGGTAAGGATGCGAAGTCTGGAGGGTTAGGTAGTGGGGACTCTCAGGGATTGGAATCTGAAGAAGGTAGGATTGAGAATGTAGCAGTGGAATTCGATAATGTCGTGTTCGGGAGGGAAGAGGGTGATAACACAGTAGTTGGTAGCGGTGAAGTTGATTCTGCATCTTTGCGGGAGGAGTCTGTTTTGGATAATAATAGAGTTCAGGAAGAAGTGGGAACTGGGGTTAGCAACATTGAAGTGGCGGATGTTGGGGTTGAGTGCACGGATGCACCAGATGCTGGAGCCTCAGATCATGAAGTGACAAATAGTAGATTTGAAAATGCTTTAGGATGCCCATTAGCAGGTAGTTCTGTAGGAGGAGAAAATGTACGGGGTGGATGTGCTGAAAAGGATAATGGAGCGATAGCAGATGGAAATGATGTGACCTTAGATGAAGAGAAGGACATTGCTGACTTGGAAAGTGATAAAATAGTGGAGAAAGAAGCATGTATTGGTGGCAAAGTTGAATCCGAGGAAAAGTTAAATTCAGATGGAGATCAGCCAATGGAGATTGATAAAGTTGGTGGTGGCTCCAATAATGAACTAGAAGAAGTGGTTTGTGGAACTGAAGTTGCAGTGGAAAATGTACAGAGTGCATGTGCTGAGAAGGATAATGGAGCAATGGGAGATGGAAATGATGTGACCTTAGATGAAGAGAAGGATGTTTCTGAATTGCAAAGTGATAAAATAGTGGAGAAAGAAGCATGTGTCAGTGACAAAGTTGAATCCATGGGAAAGTTAAATTCTGATGTAGATCAGCCAATGGAGATTGATAAAGTTGATGACGGCTCCAATAATGTACTAGTAGAAGAAGTGGTTGGTGGAACTGAAGTTGCAATGGGCACGGATCATTTGAATTCTGAGGAAGAACAGTGCTTGAGAAAATGTACTGAAAAGGTTAGTTCAGATACAGGGCAGGGAATAGTGGATAAGGATTCAATAAAAGAAGTGGAGTTAAACAAGAATATTTCTGATGCTGAAAAGTGTGGTTTACGTGAGGGGATAGAAGCAGAAGCCGAAGGTCAACCAGAAACAGAAAAGACTAAACTATTGAACCACACTTCAGAGATTGAAGGTAAGATCACTGTTGATCTCATAACTTTTTATTTTCCAGCTCAATTGTTGTTGGAATACAATTGTAACTTTAAATAAAAAAAGTTCTTTGGGTTCTAGATAATTATCCTTGTAATTTTCTGGATGAAGGTGCATTTGTATTGATTATGAATGAAAATTTTATATGCTAATGAAATTTCTGTGCTTGTAGGAGAAGACACTCAGATTGCTGACCAGGATAACCTCGCACTGATGGATGCTGGAGAGGAAAAAGTCCATGATGAGTCCAATATTGGGCAAAACGTTGAAGTACAAGCTGGCATTTCTGAGCAGGATGGTTCAAATGATGGTCAGGAAGTTGAAGTTGAAGAATTTAATGAACCTGAACAGAGAAAAGCAGAAGGAAGAGTCACAAGACGTTCATTAATGAAGCCTGTGAGTTCAGAAATATTTCATCATGCAAGATATTTGCTGCCAACAGAAAAGGAAGGTAATTTTTCTGTATCTGATATGGTTTGGGGGAAGGTGAGAAGCCACCCATGGTGGCCTGGGCAGATATTTGATCCATCGGATTCGTCTGAGAAAGCAATGAAGCATTATAAAAAGGACTGCCATTTGGTAGCATATTTTGGGGACAGAACATTTGCTTGGAATGAAGAATCTCAGCTAAAACCTTTTAGGACACATTTCTCCTCTATTGAAAAGCAGAGCACTTCAGAATCATTTCAGAATGCTGTAGATTGTGCTCTGGATGAAGTCATAAGACGAGTAGAATATGGGCTGGCATGTTCTTGTATTCCTAAAGATACCTATGACTCCATTAAATTCCAGACTGTAGAAAACACTGGGATTCGACCAGAAGTAAATTGCAGACATGGGGTGGATGAATCTCTAAGTGCCAGCTCCTTTTCACCTGATAAGCTTATAGAATACATGAAAACACTATCTGAATTTCCAACTGGTGTGTTTGATCGTTTGGAGCTTGGAATTGCTAAGGCTCAATTACTAGCATTCTATCGTTTTAAGGGTTACTCTTGCTTGCCAGAACTACAATATTGTGGAGGTTTTGATGATGACATGGACACCTTAGCTCACGATGATGAGAATCAAGTTATTGATCATGCAGCTCCTAGAACCGAGAATGATGAACAAGTTGGTTCTGGAAATTTAAAAAACCAAAGCAGCTCACGCCGCAAACGGAAGCATAATTTGAAGGATATTATGAATGAAACAAAGAAGGAAAGAAGCTTGTCAGAGCTAATGGGTGGGACTCAAGATTCTCCTGATGGTGATTATTGGTCTGATGAGAAGGTAACAGATGAACTGGTTTCACCTGGCCGTTCCAAAAGAAGAAAGACTGCTGATCACTATGATGATGACTTTGGGAAGCAAGATGGAAGAAAAACAATTTCTGTTGCAAAAGTTTCTAATGTTGCAAAGCCGTCATTTTTAATTGGTGACCGTATTCGTAGGGTTGCTAGTAAACTTACTGGTTCCCCCTCTATGATAAAGAGTTCTGGTGACCGGTTTCAGAAGACAGACATAAGCACTGATGGTTTTTCTGCAAATGGATCTGATGTTTCCCTTGAGGCGGCTCAGAGGTCAAGTATGGTTGCTCCAACAGAGTATTCGTCTCTGGATGATTTGCTATCTTCACTTCACTCAGTGGCACAAGAACCCCTTGGAGATTATAGCTTCCTGAATGCTATTGTGAGCTTCTTCTCTGATTTCAGGAATTCAGTAACTGTGGCAGATGATTCTGTAAAAGATATCTTTTGTACAGATAAAGTTGGTACTAAAAGGAGGAAACCAACCATTTCTGGACCACCTGAAACATTTGAATTTGAGGATATGAGTGACACATATTGGACAGACAGGGTCATTGACAATGGCAGTGAAGCGCAGCCAGCACAACCCTCACAACCATCACAGCCTCTGGAACCATCGCAACCAGCACGGAGGAAGCGGAAAAAAGACAATCAACTTGTTCCTGCTG